AGTAATTGCCGCTCATCTCTTTTACTCAGTTTGGTTGGCCTGCCAGACCGTTGTGTTGTCGTAATGACCCTTTCATCCATATATCGTTCAATTACACCTTGAACAGCTCCTTTTGAACGTTTGACTATAGCAGCTATTTCCTGATTTTCCCCCAAGTGTAGACCGACAATCATTCCACGTTCAAAATCAGACAATTCTCCAGCTCGTGGCATTTCAGACAATGTTTTCAATTATTTTAAAAGTTTTTAGATTCAGCGCTACAAAAGAAAAAAAATTTTAAGCAATTTGCATTGAAATTGAGGGAGCTATACTTGTTAAAAAAAATATCGATGCAAAGCACAATCAGGTGATCGACACCGAATTGGTTGAGAATTTTGTCAGGGTTTTATGATGCTCTAACTTCACAAGGGTGGCAGCTAAATTTTTTTGGTTACATAAAACTTAAACTACAGTCATTTCACTTCAAAATGAGATGAATTTTAATGGTAGTTACTAAAACATTATTTGTATACATGTGGTTTAAAAAAAATCGTTTTTTATATGTCTTAATAGCTAATTCTTACGTTATACATATAATTTCGGCATGCCATGCTCTGATATTTACACCATTAAAAAGAGCATTTCTTGGCGAGTCGAATGATGTAAATTATACTAAATTTTATTATGTGAATTTCTGAGTAAACTGGATTTGAAGTGATGTGGTTTTAAAGAAGATCGCCGCTTGTACTTATACTTTTGGGGCATGTCTAAAGCGGAGCAGATCCCTCGCAATTCCATTGATCAAATTTGTATGGCAGCCAATAAAACTGCAAATACAGGATCACGTTCTGCTCCGCTTTAGCCTTTCCTACTTTTGGCAGGGGGCTTGTACCTCCATATAAGAGCATTGCATGCTGATTGGCTAACAACATTTTATTACTATTACTATTATTATTTATTATTATAATTCAAACGGTTGTGTTTCGTTACATAAAATTATCCGCATCCCAAAAATAGTTTAGCGTAAATTACGTAAGATTGACAGTGGTTTAAAATCTGATCCTAATTCATCAAATTCCGGTTTTAAGTACGTTAAGGGTAACCAAATATGATGTATTAAAATTTCAACATGGATATTCAACATGGTTGTTTTAAAAAGCTGTATTACCTCCCCCAACCTCGCAAAATAACCTTTTGAAATGTCCGCTACAAAGCTTCCGAGACTCACAACAAAGATACGCTTAGCTGTCTTATTGGCACTAATATGTTTCGTTCTTGCACTGCAATTGAGCGGACTGGCTCACATTCGACAAAAGCTGGGTCTTTCGTACGAGCTCCCATCGTCACTTGGGTCGGCACACCCACCGGTCGAGCGTAGATTAGGTGACGACGTAATACTAAAGAACGTCTCTCACCTGCCTCGAATTCAATTTGATTTCAGTCAGATCGAAGAGTCACAGTTAGAGCGTGAGGTCCGTGAACAAAGACTGAAATCTGTCAAAGACGGTTTCATATACGCGTGGAATGGATATAAAAAATGCGCTTGGGGTCATGATGAGATAAAGCCTGTGACCTGTCAGCCCAATGATTCTTTTGCTGGATGGGGAGCCACTCTCGTAGACGCATTAGATACATTATTTATTATGGGTTTGAAAGATCAATTCGGTGAAGCTGTAGAACACTTGAAGGGCGTTGATTTTACCAAAGCTGACACCGCAATTAGCTTGTTCGAGACTGTGATACGTTATCTCGGTGGATTGCTAAGTGCATACGAGTTGTCGGGAGAGCGTTTATTGCTTCAAAAAGCCATAGATTTAGCGGACGCGTTGACACCCGCATTCTCCACTCCGACTGGAATACCATCTAACAGATGGGATATGAGCACGTAAGTCCCAGCATCTGGCATGTTTTCATATACTCTGTGTACCATGGGCTACCCAAGGTAAAACGTCTCGTCTGCAGAACTTTCAATTTACACAAGGCATTTTTATTGATAGAGGATATGAGCATATGTGGTCTACTCGTCATGCGATATTAGCTGAAGTAGGGACTTTACAACTTGAATTTATGAAATTAGCCGAGATTACGCGTAACAGCACTTACTTTCATCTGGTGAGTGCTTAATTGGATATACTGGATTTGCTGCAAATTTATTGAGAGCGTAACTTGTTGTCTACGTATTCAAGTGTCTAATCTTACTTGAATTGCAATTAGGTTCAAAGAGTCACTGATGCGCTGGAGCGAGCAGAGAAAAGTATTCCTGGATTATATCCTCTCAGCATAGATACAGGTTAGTTTACGTTCGTTGTCGATGTGAATGATGTGTCACTGTTTGTTAACTGTATATGTTCAAAATTTGCAGAAACAGGAGCTTTCACGTCAGGTAAGTCAAAAATGTCTATCAGATCGAAGCAATACCAGAAATACCCCAGAAATACTTACTATCCCTTATTGGTATTGATAGACGCAATCAGTTTCGGTGCTGTGGGTGACAGTTTCTACGAAGTAAGCTATCATAAAATACGTACCGATGCCAATATTAAACAGTTTAGTGAGATAACATTTGTGTTTTGCTGTAGTATCTTCTTAAACAGCATTTGTATGTTGGTGGTGCTCTTGACCAGTATAGAAGAATGTGTAAGTTATCATTAGAGAAATCTTGTTTATATTGCATGACATGAACTTTTATTGACTTGTTGTGGCATTAGACAACGAATCTGTTAATGGTATGATTCAGTATTTGGTCAAGGAAGGTCATTATGATAAAAAACGCGGATTATTTCTCGGCCAATTAAGTTATGGTCAATACATTCAGAAGATGGAACACTTAGTAAGTAAGAATAATTGTATATTAGAAACTAACTTAACGCGACTGACGTGACATTCACAAATACTATCATCCCAGTCATGTTTTGTTCCAGGCATGGTAGCAATGGGAGCAAAAACATTAAACAGATCAGGTGATCTTAAGATTGCAGAAGAACTTGCCGAGTCATGCTATTGGTCATATAACCAAACAATAACTGGCATTGGTCCAGAGGACTTCTTTTTTGATCTCATTGATGAGCCTGCAACATCACCACCTAGGACGAACAGTATGTATAAATTAAGACCAGGTAGGAAAAAATAATTACTATTATGATCTAGTAAATACATGGGCAGTACATTAAATCGTTTGTCTATTACAGAAACAGTCGAGAGTTTGTTCATTTTGTACCGAATAACTGGCAACAAAATATACCAAGACAAAGGTTGGGCGATATGGCAGGTAAATATCACGTTACCGCAATCGTAGTCGTCGTGCATAATACTGATGACTGGATTTATAGGCTATTCAAAAGTATTGTAAGACAGAATCAGCTTATTCTGGACTCTTTGACGTCACGGTCGAGAACGTTAGGCAAAATGATAATATGGAAAGGTATTCGATGGCTGGCTTGAGTTGTGTCTTAAAAAATTTCTCGTTGTTATGTGAACCGTTTTCTAATATCCATTACACAAATCAGTTTCTTTCTTGCAGAAACGTTGAAATATCTATATCTCCTGTTCAGCCCACCGGATATAATATCTCTCGATACTCATGTATTTAACACTGAAGCTCATCCCTTCCGACGTCTGTATCACACGCGACCACACGCTGCTTAGGTAGATCTTAAGCATGTTCATTGTTGTCACGTATCGCTCGTCATCACACTGTTTAAGATTTATGTACTGAATTAGATGATAAGTTAATTTTAATAATCTAGATGTTACTTCCTAATCCATTATCTAAAATAAAAAGGCGAGTGGATAGTTATTAAACAAACACATCTCGCAATATTGCTGCATGCTCTTTGTGATGCCATTTGGCAACACCGACAGCAGGAGCAGCACTAACTGGTCTTCCGACATATTTGAGCTGCATAAGCAAAAGAAAATTTAATATGATGAAACCCCTGAAAAATTAAATGAAATTCTGTTCATAATATAATACCTTAGATCCGGAGGGCAAAATTTGTGTTATCCTCGGAGCTATGAAAGAATATGCTCCATTATTCAGCGGTTCCTCTTGACACCAGATGAAATCATTCACGTTGGGGTATGTTTTCATTTCAGTAATAATATCTTCCTTTGGGAAGGGAGCAAGTTCCTATTTAACGTAGTTGAACAACGTTATGCAACGCTGTACTGATGACAAATTACTGAAGCAGCTGGACGTAAATTTTATACCTCTATTCTCACAATTGCAATTCTATCTTCCAATTTTTTCGCCTGTCTTTCCCTAAATAGATCATAATAAAACTTTCCGGATACGAACACAATCTTTTCAATGCTACATAATTAGATTAAAGTTAAGACGTCTTTTCATATCTGATAATGACATGTAAAGACATGCCAAGTACCTCTGTTTATTAGAAATGGTGGCGTCTCCGAGAACTGGCCGAAAGCTTGTTCCTGGTGTCATATCCTTCAGGTCAGATGCAGCAGCCTAGATATTATAAATTAGTTCCATGAGCTACTATAGTTACATCAATAACTTATGTATTTGTACTCACAGGCAGTCTTAAAAGTGTTTTTGGAGACACAACAATCAATGGTTTTCTATAGTTGCGCTTAAGCTACAAAAATCAAGAGTTACAAACTGACAGGTGGCGGATACAGGGATAATCATTTTCCATACTTGTCTTCTCAAAGCGTGGAAGTATTGTGCGGGCGTTGTGGGATTGATGATATGCATATTAAGATTAACGGGTATCTTTTCATTAAGCACATCGAATCTATCGTTCGACAACTATAATAATTGCATTATTGGTTAAAACGGAATTATCCTCCAATAAATCCAAAGTTGAAATTCGACTTACTTGCAACCACCGCTCAATGCGACAACTGGAATGCTCTGGTCCAGCACCATCATATCCGTGGGGAAGCAGCATAACCAATCCGGATTGTCTCAGCCATTTTACTAGTAGTTTTTTGTTCATTAATAATCAGAAATCAGAGCTGTAATGCTAAAATTCTGCTTTGTTACCTTCACCACTGGAAATGTAAGTGTCTATTATTACTTGAGCCCCGTTAAAAAAATCTCCAAACTGAGCTTCCCAGATATTGAGATTGTTGGGAGATTCTATAGACATGCCATATTCGAAACCAACAACGGCCAACTCACTAAGATTGCTATTCGTGACCTTTAAAAGAAATATGAGCACGATTGTTATCAATTTATTTGACTAACTCATTTTGTGTCAATGCAACTCACTTCAAGCATTCCTTGATCAATTGCCAATGAGTTGAGCGGGATGGTAACTCTTTCCGTATCTTGACAGACTAGCATAGCGTGCCTTTGACTGAATGTCCCACGTCCTACATCCTGTCCACATAATCTCACATTATGACCCTCAAGCAAGAGAGATCCTAAAGCAAGCGCCTATGATTCCATTCCAATTTAGCGTTAAAAAGAATTAATCAGTTTGCAATATGTTTGAATAACTTACTTCCGCAGTTGCCCAATCGATTCTCTTTCCTTCAGCCATTTTGCTCAAACGAGCGTCAATATGATATTTTCGCAATCGAGGATGGATAACCTGCATTGTGCATACTTAGTCGGTTACCAATATAATTTTAGCAGGGGCATTTTCTCAATACGTACAATGTTATCAGGAGGAGTAACAGACGTTCTTCCCACTTTCTCGAGTATGCTTTTCTGAACACCTGGGAATAAACAGAAATGAACATCTTGGGCAATCTTGTCTATTAATGAACACTTTACATACCAGTATCTATTGCTGATGTGTAGTCACTGGGTATAACCATCGAGGACCATTTCTTCTTTAATGTGTCAGCCTGATACAAATTTAAATTTAATAAATTATTGTAATGTCCGACAATATCCATAGTAAGAACTCACATCTGGGTTATGATTCTCTGCTGCTCTGAGTTGAGTTTCCAAGTAAGTGAAGTAGTTCTCGCGAAATTCTGCTATTTCTTCTGATTTTAAAATATCACTAGTCTATTTACATCGGCAAGATGTTAATTTTGATAATAACACATATCAGCAAAACACTTGGATTCTTATAAATACCAATAGTTTTTCCTCATAGAGCTTTGGAACACTTTTTCGGGAACGTATGATTTTGTACATCAACGGCTGTGTGTATGCTGGTTCGTCAAGTTCATTATGACCCCACCTGCGATACGCAATCAGGTCTATGATAATATCCTGAATAGTGTTTGAAGTTAAAATCTTGCTTATGCAAAACATGTTTCAAGACCGTTAAGACATTTTTTACCTTTCTAAATTTATTCCGATACTCAAATGCAACTTCCATAGCATGAGTAACATCTTCAGGGAAATCACCGTTAACATGTATGATGGGCGCATTTATAATTTTGCCAATGTCTGAACAATAAAAACTGCTTCTAGCGTTCTGAGCAGGCGTTGTATAGCCGAGCTGATTATTTACTACTATATGAATTGATCCGCCGGAAGAGAAATGTGGCAGATTGGACAAGCCAAAACTTTCCATAACGATGCCTTGCCCCGTAAATGCCTAAACGGATAGGAAAAGATTTTAGAGTTTTGACCATAATTTTCGGTCGCGTGTCTTTTACTACTACGTACAGCATCTCCATGAAGTTGAATGCAGATGACACGATCACCAAGCTCACAATTACTCTCTGATTTCATAAGATCTAGTTGCTTGGCACGCGCTTTACCCATGGCAACTGGATTAACCGCCTTTAATTCCAGAGAAAAGAAGGCGTTAACAATCTTTTCAAATAATAACAAACGATATTTAAATAGATAGTTGGCCTACTTCAAGATGTGATGGATTATGAAGCATGGTTACGTCCAATGGTTTTGCTGCTCCATAGATCAGTGTTGGCGATGAGGCTACGAAACAATGAAAAAGGTCAATAACGTTGAAGCAGATGTCCTTATGATTTCAAAACACTCTGTCTGTAGTTACCCAGGTGTGACAACACATCTCCGGTGGCAGGAAAGTCTTCGGGAAATTCAGCGTTGCCTCTCACCTTGTGAAATAGCTTAAAAGTCGAAAACTTGAGTAAATCCGTTAGCAGATTTAAACGGCCACGGTGTGGCATGCACAATACAGCGTTTATTATGCCAGCTGCGGTTTCAAAAACAAGAACGAGAACGGTGAATACCTCTTTAGGGGGGTAAATAATTCGCATACACTCATTTAATTCGAAGTTGATACATTACCCTTGTTTGAAACTTCAAATAGTTTATCAAGAGCAACCATCATTGATTCAGCACCTTCCAATCCATATCTTTTGATCTGAGGAAACTTTTTCGCCATGAATTGATCGAATACCTAAAGATCCTCCAAAAGGTAAATGACAGAAAATCTCCCAAAGACTACATTACTGATAATATTACCTCGGAGCGGGTAAGAAGTTCAAATATTCTCTTCTTCTGTTCAGTTGTCAATAGTTTTGTGGCCTGTGATTCAACCATATGTGCGAACCATCTTCTTTCACTTGCGTCCTGCGATAGTCAAGTTGATGGTAACGGTACGGTTTCCATGTTCTTTGTTTTGCAAATACGCGTTTGGCATTTTATTGTATACTCACTGGAACGTGCATAAATTCATATGCCACTCTGCTACAATATACGTTGTTAAGGTGAGTTGTAACCTCCTCGAGAGTCGCCTCCCGCTTTGATTCGAAGGACGATTCGGATTCATTTACATGAACTATACCTATAAATTTGCAAACTTTAGACTTCATCCCCCTAAATTGAAACGGGTAAAATACCAAATAATACTTAACCATCCAAGTTGTAAATTTTATAGGGGTCCGAGAGGCCGTATCGAGTTGCATCAATAGCAGTAATTTCCCTAAATTAGTTGACTCTGACGTTACCCAGACCAGAACCACAATTACGTAGTGATAGTGCAAACCCAGTAAACCTCTTACGCTCTATCCATTATTCCCAAAGGATCAAGAAAGGCGCTTCTATGACCACGCGTGCGATAAGCCAGGACATATCTCACAAGATTTGCGTTTTCAACTCGATTAATCAATTGTTGGGAGGTATCTACAAAGTGAACGATCAGTGACTAAAGTGATTGTGTTGCGTCTAAATCAATTTATTAACTTACAATCGGGCATGGCAAATTTCCTTGGAATGCGATAACCAAAGACTCCATCATCATGATAATTAGCTCCCTGTAACAACGGTAATACTCTTAAAGGAAGTGAAAAACAACCATTAATTCTTGAGACGCTGCTAGCATATGGAAAAGTGGGCTGAAAAATTCTCCCTTTCTGTCTTAAAGCAAGCCTTATCATTATAGTTTACCAGGAGTAATCACCTGTGAGGGGTTTATATAGGTTCAGCATACGATAACTTGGACTGACAGTAAAAGCGTATATTAATAATGATGATAATGAAGGGATCGTCAATTGGTCTTGTAATACAATGTTTTAACTGGAATTCCCACGCTGATTGCCTGCGAATATGTAAAAACCCCTTGTCACAAATTTTATTTTTGGTGTTCGTAAAATAATAATAATGATATTGTTGTAAATATGTTGATCGCTTCCTTATTATTATTATTATGTGGTGAATTGAGTATATTATATGGGCATGCTGCAACAAAACCAGACAAAGTGAACATTCTATAAATGTACTAACGCTGATTAGTGGCTTAATCAATGACGTATTACTAGGAAGTTTCTAGACCTGTAACTACTATGCAGAATGTGACCATGATTATCAGTGCGCAAAAATTCATATTTTATTATAAAAATAGCACTGGTTAACTTCAGAAATCAACCACAACGCAATAAATTTCGTTAAAGCAATACATCGTTTAAAGCAACAAAATAAGCTGTCAATTTCCATCAACAACACTACGAAAAATGCTTACATTCACAAGCGAATTCTTTTTGAAGTATTTATTGGCTTCGTTCTCGGCCTGTAGCTCAACAGCATATTTTACAATAGCCAACTCCACAACCTGGGACTATTAACCAAGACTATGAAGTCCAGAAAGTGTCAAAAACGAAACAATCGCTGAATTATCAACCTTCTGTGGACAAAGGCCAAGATGAGGATCGAGATGCAAATCGCTTCTAGTCCCATTGAAGGTTTGCTGCAAACTGCATACATAGAAATAACCTTCTTTCGAATTATCATTTATTATATGATTTGCATACGATTTATTCTCTACTTTTACCTTTTGTATTGAAAGAAATAACAAAAGCTAGGCAAATGCTATGATATATAAACGTAGACGGGTCCGTATCATTTCACCGAAAATTATTTCACCGACGTAATATTTCACCGACAATCATTTCGTCGACAATCATTTCACCGACAATCATTTCACCGACATATTCACCAACATTATTTCGAAATTATCCTTTTTTGGTAGTGTTGTCGGCGAAATGATTGTCGGCGAAATGATTTTCGGTGAAATGATTGTCGGTGAAATCTTACGTCGGTGAAATGATTTTCGGCGTTATGATCGTCTCCCACGTAGACTTGCTTTTTTGTTTTGAGAACCGATTTAGTAAATACAGTAGAGGAGGAAGACGTTCCGAATTAGATATCGAATCTTTGTATTAAATAAGTATAATCACGAGGAAGAACCGGTTTCAAAATGTCTGGTAAAAGGCTCCAGGAAAAGACCTGCGTATGAAGAATAACATATAATAAAACATTAAGCACAAATGTAAAAAAAATATAAAAAAGACCCCCTCTACAATAGCGGTAACATTAACGATTAACTGCGTAAAATTGTCATAAATTAAATAACAATAAAATTAACTAGTCTATAAATAACAATACTAACAATACTTCAACTCTCTTTTTAAAAACATTGGAGTATGTGACGCCAAAGTATTTCAATTCGATTCAGATAAAGAAAGCGAAGGGAGCGTATAATATAGTTTGTTTAGAAAAAAAGATAAACCTGTTTAGTAGTTTCTGTATCGTAAACATCCATACTGTTGTACAAATTACTTAGAAACACTTATAAGAAAGATATTTCGTATGATGAAGTTGAAAATGAGCAAAGAAAATATTTGCGTTGAAGAGCACGGCGCGCGTGGGTAAAAGAATTGACGAAGTAGTATATCATTATGATATCAACAACAACGACAAAGGAAGTACAGTATTAAGCAAACATTGGCCGTTGATGAGGTAGAGTCAGTCAGATCAATTGACGGTCATACCACATTTCGGTCGTGCATTAGTGAATGTTTGCTAAATATCCATTCAAACTCTGATTCTCATTTTTCATTTGTTAATATATTAATCCTGTTATGGTTCATATTCATCACATTCTGGTATGATAAAGTGAGCATTAAATTAACAAGTCCATAAGTTATAAATGAGCACTCTTGATATTCAACCAAGCAAGTTTAGTATTGATATGCGGACAATCACTTTTTTATTTTAAAAAATTGTCATATAGATGCCTCATAATTAGTGTTAGTTAATGACAAAATAACTTTTTCACAAAGGCCAGATCATATTCGAAAATCCAACTGGAGGCCACTTGAAGCACAATTGTCTATGATTTCTGCAAACAATTTTCTCATCTACAATTACATCACAATATAATAACAAATAATGATTTTGAAAATTTAGATAAATACTTGAGTAATATTAACTAACCTCTTGTTCATAGAAATTTCCATTCTCCATAGACCTGCAAAACATTATTGCAGTTTCACACCATTTCCTGGCTTCTTCAAAATTTCTTACTCTATGTATCAACATTATAATTAAAGATAAATCATGCATTCATCATCATCCCTGCAGGCTACTCACGAGTAATAGTCAATACCCTGATTCCATGCTGTCACCATCATCCACTGAATCTCTTCCTCCGGATATGATTGCTTTCGAGATTATCAAAAAAGAAAGATGATGGTTAGTAGCCGCTTAGTATATTAATTTAAACACATGGTTTACTCACATGAGGGCAATTCTTTAGAATGTCCGTAGCTTGCACGAAATATTGATGCGCAACATGTTTGTCTTGATAAAGTGCAGAAATTAACAGCATACGAAACCATCGCGAAAAGCGAGTATATTCTGAATGCGGTTGACTTGATAAAGAGTTTAGAAGGGCCTATTCAAATCATAGGCAAAATTAATATTTAGCATGCGTAGAATATGCATAATACATAATACAGAAACAGTATCAATTCAAGAATATAGCTTTATTACTTGTAGAGTCACCGATAAAACTATAAAATTAAGGGGTTTGTATTAATATTAATATTAAAACTCAATTAAAACTGTTAAAACAACGTTTATCTCGCTTACTTTCACTAGGACACTCTTTGTCAATAATGAGCAGTTCCATCATTCGTTCGTATACTTTAAAAGGCATGTTAAGCTCATATTTTCCTGCGTCCTTAGTATTTTAATCGATTAAATTAGTCGCGTCAATTTTCTTTGAATTTTAGACACCCTCCCTCATACATACATCAAGCATATCTCGAATTTCATTCCATCGCTTTAATTGAAATTTTGCTTCAAACTCGAATAAGAATACAAGCATTACATCGGACTCTGCTTGTTGAGGTTCAACGATCGTTTCGCTATTCAATTGTTTACGCGATTGAAGAACATTGCGTATTTTCTGATATACTATGATATCCGCGAGACACTTTTCAAGGATATCTTCCTGCAAACCGAAAACATACACATTAATAATTACCGTCAGCGTCCTAAATTATTAGATATAATTACTAAACTATAGTACTGCAAGATAATTAACCTTTTCCTCCGGTATTATATCATCACGTGATTGGAAAATCTTTCCAGCGATACACGTAAATAAACAGAGTCTTTTCCAAGCCAAAATCTCAACCGTTTCCTCCTTATAAAGTTCCAGAAACTGGAAAGTTTGTTGTTACAGATTGTTGCAAGTGTGCGTCATATTACCATAACAAAGTATAATACCTTGTACGCAATTCCAAACAATCGAATCGCTATTGACACACTAGCTGGATTCTGGCAAAATTCAAGAGCAATATTCCAGGCTGTATATTGTCAGTAATACCTAATACACTGTATAAGCATTCTACTATAATCACTTACTTGTTTTATAGTACCATTCAAGTTCGTTCAAATCTTGTTTCGTTAACGCAATGTCAGTTGAAGATGTCGAAGACGTATCCGATCCAATAATTGTAATGGCTGATTAAGCGACGAAAAAAAAAGAGTGTATTTTCAACGAAAATTCGGGTCTGTTACGCGGTTTTATTTCATCCACAAGACGTTTGCATACCAATTTCAAAATATCCTAGCAAATATTGTCTCAAGGTTTGCCTACGTAGACATTTATTAAGTTAATAATCGAACACTCGCTCAATAAACTTTGATCATGTCGAACGTACTGCTCATCCTCTCCTGCAGGTTCAATTGCTTTATACGTCAGCCGTATCAGGCATCTGTTAAATAGCTGTCAATGCGATTCCACGTGCATAAACAATAACTTTTCGTCAGTTATACTAACCGCAAGAGCACCATAATATCAACGTTTATTGCGTCTTGGTTCTCTCGACGTTTAAGTAGGATTTCCCTCAAGACTTCGATTAATATCTCTTTGTTATTTCGCTTGTATGCTTCATTTGCAGCTATTGTTAGCATATTTGCATGAAAGTTGTCTGAATTACACATTTGATGAAGGTGTTTAATGGCTGCATAATAATAAACAAAGTATTAGGTAATCGTTAAATCATTATAAACACAAGTATTAGGAATTACAGTACCATTGTCCACATCATTCATCTCTAGGGCGATGTGAAACATTATATAATAGTTGGCGGCAGAGTTTGCCTCGTGCTTCTGGGCAAGAGTGATCGCGTTAATTGCATCGGAAACCGCATGCCTTCCTAAATCGCAAAGAGAAATCTTTCTGCACGCACGAAAGAACATGTCAGTTAGGTAAGGAATTATTGCTGATGATATTGTAATCTGTATTTACCGTTGCAATATAGATGCATTTCTGTTATCCACTTCATTGGATGCGACAAATTCATATGCCAGAGTATACCAGCTTTTGGCAAGTTCATAATTTTTTTCCTATTATATTGCTGACATTAGCATTACTGTTTGCTAAAAGCTCTGAGAATTACTGATTAGTATGACTGCCCATACCACGTAGTTCTTGTCTCCATTTTGCCATAGTATCTGCGCAAACAAAATAATAATGTCAGACGTGTTGAATCGGATAATCCAAACCGCATAAACAGATCTTTCTTACCATTTGACAAGCAATAATTGTTTTCCTGGAAATTGTAATCCCGTGCCGCCGTTCATCTACACATATGTTAGTAATTGTATTGCTTGTGGTTCCACGTTTTTAACTTATTTTTTTAATCTTACATCCAATTGTAACTTCAACACTTTTCATAATATTTTCTATGTCGTTCTTTTTGTCAATATATCCCATTATGTGAAATTTGGCAACAATCGCATTTTCAATAAGCTCCAAATTTCCGAAATTCGCCAGTGTTTTTTCAAGGAGTATGTCAAGACCGTCCAGAGAAATTCGCGGGCTTAAGGAAAATTTAATAGTCGATATTTTTAATCGATTAACTGTCTCGAATTTTACTTGTACAGAAAGTTGACATTATGCTTACTTTAGCTCAGCAATAAAATGTGCTGTATTTAGCAGTCTATGTCAAACTCCCACAAGAGACAGCGATTGCGTTATTAAATAATTAGTGATAAATTTTTGCAAAAATGAGGCGAGAAAACATTTACATTTTGAGTTCATCCTTTGTTATTTGCTGAGGGCTCATCAAGTCTTTGTAAGCTATATGATTTTGTTAAAAAGAGAAAGGCAGAAAATAAGTAAACGTTTAAACTTTCAGTAAAGCGTCAAATCGTATTTTACCCTGCTCGATGCTTGAAAAATCGGCACCACTTTGCTTCATTGTTTTAATTTTCAGCGACATTGCTAATAAATTCCCTGGATCTCTCTTTGATAATTTGTAAAAAAAGAGGTCTTTTAGCCTAAAATTCTAACCAAGACACTTACTTCTAAACATGTAACGATGGCATTTTCTGCAAGTTGGAGTGCGGATACGTCTTGAGTAGACTTTTTCAAATAACAAGATGCTATAATTAATGATACGCATATGTTAATTTTAGCTTCCAAAAATTTATTATACTATAGATAAATGTCACGTCATTACCGAGCAAGTTTAAACTTTTTGTCTGCATATAGTCAAACGCTTGTTTGTTAGTTATGTACTTGCAAATAGATTTTTCTTGTGAATAACACATACCAACATCAGCGTTCTTTCATGACACTGTTTTCCTTTCATAGACCCCGCAACGTCATAGCACTTTTTTAGCCAGGTAATGGCCTCCGATATTTTGTTTTCTTTCGACAACTGATAGCCAACTGTTAGACACACATGACATACATAATTGACCTGTTGTTTGCAAAAATCAATAAAATAAAAATACGCGTTCAAGTGCAATAAAGTCAACGAGAAAACAATTCTATTCGGAACACACATACCTCACGCATTGAGCAGTAGATGAGATACTTATCAGCTTGCAAATTAAACAAATGGGTTAGCGCCAAACCAATTGTAGTTGAATTATCAATTGATTACGTTACCAGTTGCGTGTTGTATCATAAGGTTTGCAATGTGTGTGTTTGCGAGCTTCCAGGCCTTTCGATAAGTTGTAATATTAATATAAGCCTACCGCGACTTATGATATACAAGCTACGTACCACTTCTGCGCGAGATGCGTAGAACGTTGTCAAAGTTGTCGCTTTGAACTTTCTTGAATCATCGCTTTCGTCTTGTGATGCCAGAACATTTGCTTCATACTTAAAGAAAAGGTAAACACACAGTTATTACCCGTTATCTAAAAATGTTGATCGTATACATGTTTTAAACTGTAACCTCATTCATCGATCGATAAACTTCATCTGCTTTTTCGGTCATTCCGCAGTCTTATTTTACAACAATGAATTAATAATGTCAGGTTAAGGTATTTGATCAAATCATCGATACACTTACCGATATAAGCTTTGCCTACTTTTGTTGCGAGAGCGATCAACTTGATTCCGACTAGTAAAGTAACAGCAGTTAAAAGCTCCCGTTTTTTATTAATATAATAAAGTTATATGTAATGTACCTGTTTTTTCTGTACGAGTTATTGCTCCAGTTTGAATAAGCATCAAACCCGCATGACGGACTGCGAAGATAATAATATTGAGGTTATAACAATGTAAAACGACGTTAAATTATTCGGATTGAATATTTACGCAGAGCCACTATTTTGTTGTTCCGTGAGCGACTTGTTGCCTTGTAGTATATTGACGCATTCCAGAGCGTGGTACCTTTACCAATAAAAAAAAGACGTGTTATTGTATTATCTAGGACTATATAGCATCGAATGAATTTGAAGACGGACCGATTTCATCAATGTCAAACGAGTATTCTTCACATTGAGCAATATTTTGCAAATTTGCTAGCGTGCTAGCGACTTTTATTAGGTCATTTAGTAAACTGTCGACTGTTGCAGTGTCTACGACGTTTTCACCCAGTTTATGCTGAATATCTTTTACCATTGCTTTATATGGCAAACGTCCAACGTTGATTAAAAGCGCCAAGTCGAAATTAATCACAAACACTTTAAAAGTCTTGCCTGATATTATATCTAGTTCGATCTTGAGCCTACATTTTGTAGCTTCCAAAGTCGACGCTTCGGTAGTATGGGATGAGTCTAAAAGTGTCGTTAATGATGAGGGCAGTCCAAAAGATGTATTTGGAGTGCAATGTGGTGTGTTTTTGCTATTCATTTAATCGGTATGTTGCAAGACAACTGTAAATATCTAACCAACCGCGTTTTATGTTATCTCAAGTAATAAGCAAACCGAATTTATCAATTGCGGAAATTAAATTCAACTCAGATATGTTGCGTACATAAATTGCAAATATACGAATAATGTAAAAAACCCATATTACTCGTGCAATATAAACTTGTTACTATCTGCGTTATCTCAAATTTTATTAAAAACAATTGCAATGTTTGTGAATCTTTATTGTTGAGTACGTTCCAAGTTAACAAAATTACGCGGTATGGACTGTCTGCATTAATATTTTTTTAAATATATTTACAGTACTAATAAGCGGTAACTTGCTTTAAACAATAAATTTATAATACGCGTATTATTTAAATAATGAGCGTGGTGTCCTTTACCTAAATTCTCGATTAGTTACATGAAGCTCAACACTTTGAACAGATGTCTTGATTTATGTAAGCATTAACGTCTGCCCTGCGCATGTTATTAGTAATAGTCTTTACAATGCGTTTACAACTCTATTATAATTTTAAGTAAATATCAGTTTGTTTAGAAAATGGCGGCAACTAGTATCATAATAATCTAAGACGGTATGTATATCTGATCAATATGTTTCAGTCTAACAAAATGAACATGATGCCACCGACTGGTCTGACTCTCATTTCTCTACTAATTGGTTGACTATTGAATTTTCGATTTCTAAATAAAATTAAACAGAACGTAAAGTAAAAACACGGAAACAACTGCGTTTTATATAATTAATTTTTATGCTAGTCCTTCTTCCAAGACTTTTGGCTAAGCAGTGTTTGGATTAATTCAATCCAAAGAAGCAGATATATGTGAATTGTAACACAAGTGGATCTGATGTTCTACTCAGACTCGGCTTAACGAGCACTTTGTTATGAATAGAAGTTCCTCATGATAGTCACATTGTATTCAGGTATCGTAATGCTATAAAAAAAATATCATCCGGATAAACTGATTAGCCCGCAGCTTTCGTCTACTCTACCCGTGTACACGCTACTCCATGTCCCCAACGCCCGAGTCACAAAGTCATTACCTAATTGCAAAATTTGCCCGTGCTTCCATTAATCGTCTCACCATCGCACTCCACTCCCTGATCTGCTCTCTCCATAATTTCTTATCCTCCTCATTAGTGGCGTTGTTCAACGCGTTTATCGCAATCTCAAGCTGCTTTTGGGCATTTGTCAGATCGATGGATTCCGCCATGAGAGAGTTTTTTTGCGCAGTCAACTCGTGGTTGGTTTTTAATACTATAATCAATGACGTATTATTACAAGGAACTTTCTAGACCTTTTCACAATGGTAACTATTGTTCCCCCTGTATGCAGAATGTGACCAATGATAACTGCAAGTAAAGCATTTATCACAACCAGTTTACATTTTGACACCAAATTATTAAATTATCCATGTGCTGCTAATACTATAAACACCAGCCAGTTTTTCAGCTTCACTAGCAATTTTTATCTCACATTGGTCAAACGTTCACTTTTCTGGTTTTTTGCCAAATGACAAGACTAGCTGTTGGTAAACATTGAGCAGTCATTGTAGTAGTGGTTCTGCTTAAATAATATTCTTGCTTTTCTATCCAACACTTATTTTTATAGTGTCAAAATTATCGAGACATTAAGAGTTCCAAACATCTGACTATTTATTGATTAGCTTCTAATAGTTAGTGTTTCCGTGACTTAGTGCTATCACGTGAAATAGCAGTGCTAAAAAGCGCAGTAATGTTTGCTGCGCCTAGTATTGATGTAACACGAACGTAACAAATGACAAGCATTTGTCCTGAATTGAGAATTTAGACCAACTTCTTGCCTTTCTCAAAATAACCGCGTTGTGTAGGTTTAATAGTCGTGAAATCATTACTGTTGCAATAGCTGCTTCCTCTAATGTGTCAGTATTTATTACACATATAGAAGATATGGCTCACGAAAGCACTAAGAAAACGTTATTAATTGAAGTCGAGGCCTTATACAACAGCCAAGACAGGACCAGGAGAGAGCAGGCTAATGCCTGGCTACAAACATTTCAGAAAACGGTATTACTCGTGCTCACTGTTGGCAAAGGAAATCTTTTACCATATTTTTCTCACGACAATTTTACTTTTATTCGTTGTCTATGTGATTTATCAATTGAAAAGGCAGAAGCATGGACAATAACTGACCAGTTGCTGAGAGACCCTAATATTACTGATTCAGCACGATACATAGCGGCACGAACGCTGCGGCAAAAGGTACGGAACGTGTTACCATTACATGATCAAACGATATGTTGCTCTTTCATTATGCTTAGATTGTAAATTCCATTTTCATACAGATTACCTTAGATCTTCATCAGCTCGATGCAGCAGCCAGCATATCTCTACGCGACTCATTACTTGCATTATTATATGAGTACCGCGCTGGGCCCCGTTATATAATAACTCAGATATGCGTTTCTCTTGCTGCGTTGGCACTTCAGATGTCTGAATGGCGGAACGTACTACCGCAAATCACCGATTTATACGGAAAGAATCCGGAGACTATTAACTGTTTATTAGAATTCTTGAAAGTTCTTCCAGAAGAGATCAATGAAAATAAGCGTATACCTATTTCGGTGAGAACAAACTTGATGGTTATTTTACTACAAATTAATGACGGTTTTGTCATTAACATAATTCTTGATCTACATTGTGGTTAGAGCGAGGATTATCATGTGCGATCGCGAGAACTTCTGACCGACAGCGCGGAACAAGTGTTGCAATTGTGTTTAATATATCTTCAGAACTCGGGTAATTACAAAAGATGGCTATATAGCAGAAAATTTGTGGCGAAAGTTAATAAAATTTCCATCTCATTTAGGTCCAAATACAAGTGATCAGAAACGCGTGTTTGAAGTCCTATTAAGTTGGCTCTATTCGGGAGATATTGCCATTAATTCTCTGGAGACAAGTCCTTTGCTGGAATATACTTTCAAGGCTCTAGACTCTGAAGAGCTCTTTGATACTGCTGTTGATGTAGTATGTGAGATTCTCCTAGCTTCTCAGGACTTTAATGACTGCATGCCAGTAATTGAGAAGATATATCCAATGTTGGCTGCGTTGAGCGAGCCACTTAAGAAAGCCGTTGTTGAGGAAGATGAAGAAGATAATGTTCGCGGCTATTGTCGGATATTTACACAAGCGGGGGAATCATATCTGCCATTAGTTGTACGGCATCCGGAAGCATTCCAGAGTATCGTTGAGGGCATAGGGATATGCACGGCTTACAATGATTTAGAGATCGTTAAAATAACATTTAACTTTTGGCATCGATTGGTTGATGCTCTCGACTACGAGCAAAACGCGAACATTCCGTTGCCATTCAAAGAAATATATTCTAATCTTGTTGATGTAATGATTAAACATTTACATTATCCTAAATCCCTGTCTGATTGGACGGCAGAGAAGCGCGACGAATTTAGAGAATTCCGCCATGTGATGGGTGACGTATTGAAGGACTGTTGTCGAGTCCTAGGGTCACAGGCTTGCCTGTCGAAGGCTTATTATAAGTTAGATCAACATTTAAGAAATACTGCCAACGGAAGTACAGTCGATTGGCAGGAAATAGAGGCGCCCTTATTTTCATTACGAGCAATGGGGTCAGAGATTGAGGAAGGCGAAAACGTTGTTTTGCCTCAGATTATGTTTCTATTGCAACAATTGCCTGATCATCCCAAAATCCGATATGCCGCGACATTAGTTGTTGCTCGGTATTCCTTCTGGACGAAGACCCATCCAGAGTTGATTGATTATCAATTGACTTTTATTACAGGTGGTTTTGATAACGATGAAGTTGCGGCCGCGTCTGCGCTAGCGTTCAAGTTCTTATGCAAGGATTGTAGTGAGGTATTTATGTCTCTGGCAACGATTCATTTACTGGTTTCTACATATGATCACTAATATTTCACATTTCGTGTATTATTATACAGCTATTAATAGACTACCTACCTCGCTTAATACCGTATTACTTTGACCTAATCAAAAAGCTCCACGGAATGGATATGCTCGAAGTAACGGAAGCTGTATCACATGTGATAGCGGCAGTGCCATTACCCAAACTATCCGAACCCGTTAGCCTCTTTTGCCACCCGATGGCTCAACGACTGCAGGAAATAGCTGCGAAAGGTCCGGCCGCAAGCGAATCCGAGATTAGGGAAGCGTGTGGTAGGGATTTATTACCAGATGTGAAAGTAACTCTTACGCGACATCACTTGATTGACAGATATATCAACCCACATTCTCTTACATTCCGGCTGAATTACTACCAAAAAATATCGCAGATAAGATCGAACAAATAGCTCTTGTGCTCAAAATTATTGCTGAGCGTCGTGAGGAAGAAAAGGTGGCCGAAAATTCGAGTGGAGACGTGCATCCATGTATTGTTCTCATACAGCAAATGTGGGAATCGAAGATATTTGACATGCTGTTTGCGAATTATGCTGCACATAAGCAACTGTCAGAGTCATTGGCAAGACTGTTGAAGTATTGCGTGGTCTCGTATTCGAAAGATTTTCGACCAATGTTGCCTACGCTGATGGAGCGGCTAATTACTGCGTTTGGCCAGACCGCATTGAGTTGTTATTTGTGGGTAGCGACCAAGTGCGTAAGAGAGCATGCCGATGGAGAAGGCAATCCCGTGACGTTAGCTTTAATTAATTTTGTTTCGCGGTTAAGCACAGTCATGTTTAGTACTCTTTCCGAAGCGCAAGTTAACAATATTCCTGATGGTATGTTGATATGCAAATCGTGTTGTGTTGTATTCTTATGCTGGCGCGCTACTAACCTGATGCATCTTCTTTTCTCAAGTTATTGAAGAGTATTTCCGTCTCAACATTGCTTGCGTTGACGTTTTTCCCGCAACTTTTGTTCAATCCGGCATATTACCGCCAACGTTCCAAGCTGGAATAGAATGTCTGTCAATAGAACAACCCGATACTCTCGTGGCTGTCCTGACGTTCTTCTCTAAACTTCTATCGTACGCAATGACACTCAAAGAATCTCAACAACCGGCTGTAGCCGACCTAACCTCGGTTAATGTTTCATCATCTCAACCACCGTCTGAAGTAGCCAGACACAATCTTGTACACATCGAGACGGTAATACGCCAGTTTGGTGGCGAGTTGACGTATAAGCTGTTGTACGGCAATTTGTATATATTCCCTCGTGACTTTCAGACAGATGTTGACAGTTGCTTCAAGTACATGGTAAAATTGCTGCCGCTGGAGAGCCAGCAATGGATGTTGGATGCGGTTCAACGGTTACCAGAGACGAATTTAACTGCAACGGAAAAGAACAAGTTCGTTATGGATTATAACGCGTATGTATATTCTTGTCGAAATTGGCTTACACACTGTTTGTTTCTTTCTTTCTTTTTTTTACTTCTCATTCACAAATTTTTTCGACAGGCAAATCCAAGCTCGAGATTGGAGTAGATTGCGACGAGTTTTGAATGATTTTACTGCCATATACAGACGCAGATATGTAACACCACGAAGGAATAGAGGAGATGCATTATGAGAAAGGATTAATGTATTATCTGGATGATGCTGTTGGGGGAACGTAATCTAGTAAAATGATGACAGCAGTGTGCAAGAGAGATGGGTTAATAGTAGTAGTTTTGTCCAAGTAACTTAATGGTTGTTTAATTTAGTCAAAGAGCATTGGAAGATGTAATAGTGGAATGTAGATAGAATGTATGTCAAACGAATACAGCAATGACTTATTCTTAAATCATTTGTACACAAGACAAATCAATTGTTAATTACAAAACATATATTAATTTGATTATCTTTAATATACGTTGAAATGGTGTTTAATTTAGAGTGTTGACCTGAAGAGTAATTTGTTGTTTAAAGTCTCCTCTTTGGTTTCTTTTATTAGATTGGAGATACTTTTAAACTTTTCGTTGCGAGAGTCACCCAATATTTGGAATATGATTGACTCTGATGTTGTAATATGTGCTCCGGCATGTCTCATCCTCTGTGAATATTGTCATTTGGGAAGGGGGGGGGAAAAAAGGCGAGTTAAACAAACGAGCAGGCAGGGAAAAAAGCAATCTGACACAAGGGAAAACCTGTCGACTAAAATCTTACGCTAACTGCGATATCAATTTCAGGATAGTTCATCGAACTTATCCCATCGTTCAGTACGTAAACCTCATAGTTACTATCCAGGAGATCAATAGCGGTTTGCAACACACACACGTGAGACTGGATGCACAACCGGCATATACAGTATTAGTAATCCATCTGTTTACAAACAAAAGATGCAGGGTACGTCTTTGCTTTTTTAAAAAAAAAGGAAACAGGTTTTTTTACCTCGATCCCAAACAATACAACAGATTTGACTGAAGAAGCTTCCAACCAATTCTTAACCTCGGGAACGAACATGGAGAATTTGCTCTTACTAACGTTTAATTTCGCACCAGTGACATCAAGCTCACTGACAGTGTGACCGAGACCCTGTGGGTTCTATCAAACGTACCAAGGCCATACATATCGATTATCGATGCAGTGTAAAGAATGTGATGGTTCACAGGTTTTGAAACTTGCAAGCCAGACTAACCTGCTCAGTAACGACCATCGGAATTTCCATGATTTTTGCCGCTTTAATCTAAAACATACTGAACTGATTCAATATCTAATATAAAAAAACTCGCTACATATGAAAAATTGCAATACGTGTGTGTGCGGTATAATACCATTTTTGTGGCAGTTGAGATAAGACTGGGGAATTGATAGATATGTTGACGGAACTTTTCTTGAATATCACAAAGAAAGAATGCCGTCGAGGATTGGTCAAGTTTTGCTGCTCTGCGGAATATGGACGTTGCCATTGTCGAGGAAAAGTTTATGTTGGGAAAAAATGTTGGGTGTGGTAAAGGACGGGGGCCAGTGCGAAAAATATTATGAATAGTATAGTCACGTGAACATTTTATACATCCCCACTATCCCATTTATATTTAATACGCTTTTATAGTAAAAGTAAATTTTATGTTATTGTCAAACTATACAAATTCAAAATGGCAAGAACATATTATTCCTATGAGAAGATATTCTATTCACACTCTCTAATGCCTATCGTACAAGTAGAAGAAAAAAAAAGTTGGTTGGTTTTTCTTTCCCACAAATTGGCAGAATTAAATAAAATAATAAAGTAATAAAAAAAATTAAATTCTACCAGAGGAGTGTGCTTAAATTAATAACTGAGGGAAAAAATGCAATAAATCTTTTGTAAATAAATTGTAACGAGCAAAAAACATACAAATACATTATATATATATAGTATGTGATTCATTTTATTGTCATTACTATTTCACTTTCTTTCTTTCTTTCTTTCTTTCTTTCTCCGCTTTCGCTCTTTCTTTCTCATCTAAACTCGGTACTTCAAGTCCATTAATGTATACCACCACCGGCTCCACGTCTGCCGCCCTGTTGAGTATAGTTATTGTATTTTGGTGCCCGGTCTCCTTGTTGATACCGTGATGGCACCATTTGATTTACACGTCCACCTCCCCGAGAACTATTCGATCCCACTGAAGGTGTAGGTGATCCAGAGCGAGGTCCTGGTGGAGGGCGGTAATTAAAATCGTCGTATCCGACAGGCGCTTGTGTATTATTGTACATGTTTGGCGTTCTTATTGGAGTTGGAGCAGCAATGTAAGGCTGGTTGGGTCTTCCAAGCATAGCCACATTGGGGTTAACATCATTTCTTGGTATTTCTGGCACTCCATCACCATATTCTGAATAATCATCTATTGTACCGCCATAAGGATCATCGTCATAATCGAGTTGCTGTGGTTGAAGACGTTGCTGCTCTCGCGGGTTGGATATGGCAGCCTGTGCAGCTGCCAGATTTCCATAACTTCTCTTGGGTTGTGGGCCTGGTATTCGGTCACCGGCACGGGCGCCTGGGGGCAATGGATACATTCCTCCTGCCTGTGATTGAGCATATCCTGATGACGATGAAAATGCCGTATATGTTGTCGTCTCGGAATACATCGATTCGCCGCTGTTTCGTCTGCCTAGGAACTGTTGACGCTGTCCAGCAGCATGTGGACGTGGACCCATTCCTGGTCGTCCTGCAACGCTATATGGATCTGGTGATTTCGTCCTGTGATCATCGAACATTGGCGATTGCGATGGTGGATATGGCGGTGGAGGAGTTGCTCCATATGGTGGGAGTTGATTAGATTCGAACAAAGCAACTGTTGGCAGGGTTGGCTGACGGAAGGCACTTGGATCTTGTTTGACTTTTGCAGTGACTTTGTTGTTGCCAAGAACTTTGTCTGCTGTCGCTTCTTCTTTCAGCTTCTGAATGCGCTTCCTAGATTTCAAACGGAGGAGTTCACCGATTCTGATGGTTTGAAAAAAGTGATTCGGATTAGCAAAATGTGTTATATAATAATTGCTAGACAAAATATTATTATGAGACCATGTGTGTACGTTGTTTTTCTTATTTCCTTTGCTTACCTTTTATCGATCATGTGACAACAATATTCTTTCAAGTTTCCTCTTATATGACATAACAGGGGAATGTAAAGAAGAAAGGCGATGACAAGTCTAGTGGCTTCGGCGACAAATATCAACAAAGGGAAGGCCATTAAAATCATAGCAGCTCTTTGCACAAGGTTGTCACCGTAAGCGTTGTAATTCAAAGAGAATTTCTTCGATTGCAGAATAGAGTAGAGGGTAAATGCGTTGATTGCTTGTCGCGGTGCTTCAGCAAAGACTAATCGTTTCCATCCTAATGATTATGTTGTGTAAAACAGTAGTTAATTAACCATTTAGAGATTAAGGCATTCACACATAATGTTTACTGAGACCGACATAACTTACCCTTGAATGCGAAAAACACAAAGAATGCAATTTCGTCTCTTAACTTTTTGGAGTTATTAATTTGACAGAAGAAACAATAATGTGCATAGCTGCGTAATGTATAATATCTATAAGCTATTGTGCTTGTGAAAGCGTATGATATGTCTTTCGACTGAATGATACTGCGTGCCTTTTTCATGTCCCAGGCCAATAGTGCGAAACTCATAAATATACAACCCAAGAAAATCCATTTTGAAATGTAAATGGGTACTTTTGGTTTTACAGCCGAACTCCAGTCGTTAAAGATGAGTAAGATGCCTGCTGTCCACAGGTCGGCTATGTAAACGAGGACAGACTTTAGCACGACCATAAATACGAAGGAATATTTTATCCTTCTGATAAAGCTTCTTTCTTTGAATTCATTTACGTCCACAAAGTCAAACTTGTGGTCTTGAACCTTTTCTCTTTTCCACTTTGCAGCAGAAAAACACATTGTCCTTTAGTATAGGGTTATGCCAGTATGCCAAGAGAGAAAAGAATGTAAAGTAGTCGGGAATAGTGGAGAAGTGGTGAAGACGGTGGGGGAGTGGTAGAGGAGAAGGAAAGAAGGAGGGAAGTTTCTTGATGATATAGTAATAGTAGTAATGTTGGTAAAGGCAGGAAGAATTAGTAGTGTCCGCTGTTCGTCGAGACAAAAATTCGTAGAAGATAGAGAATGCAAGTGGGCTATAAGTGTATGAGGCACGGCCAAACCACCAAGGTCCAAATGCAGACACAATCCAGTTTATTGCGATTTTTTTTTTAGTAACTACTACTACTACTATTACAAGGTTAGGGGGTACGGAGAGTAAAGGAGTTCGAAAGTTGTGATGGATTTTGTTATAGACGGCAGATGGTAAATAAGGCTATGTTCATTGTGCAATAGTGGCAATGAAATATGTAGATAACGCTCTTTTCAGCTGCCGATGATGCCTTATTTGGAGGGTTCAAAAATGTTGTATACCCGAATGAAGTTTATCGAGTGGATGATTTTTGATGAACCGAATATTTATTTGTTCATCTGATTTATTTATAGACGATTTTGTGTCCTCAAAAAGCAATTAATATTTACTAATAGTATAAATTTGTGCAGTGTACACTTCCCTTCTGATTTGATAATGTCGACGCAGGAAAATTATGTGCAAAACCTATGTCTTAAAATCTGTTTACCCTGTTATTAGTTATATCCTAATTTGCTTATTCTCTACTGTTATACTTACTTACCCCCCTCCCCCACCACCAACACCGCCACCACCACTGTCATTCTTTTTTGCAAGAAACCTTCTTACGGTCACGTGGACTGTGTGCTATTTTAAAACTCGTGTCATCTAATTTGACCTTTCATGAAACCTGTGAAACTTGTGTAAATATCAATGTTACAATACATTACAAATCTGGAACAATACTTGTTCATGCACATGTCCCCGTTTAACATGTTGCTGGGGAGGGATGAAAATCATGCCGATCGTAGTTTTTATTATTAACATATAGGAACTTTCAATTTAACCGACTAGCACTGGAAATGCTTTATCGATAGTATATAAATAATTACATGCAATTGAACAGGTTCTACACTTAAAAAAAGAAAACTCTCCCCACAAAATGATATAGCATCTTGTGCTAGTATGATATTTTGATATTTTGATATAGCTTCTATTCGCCTTAACCAGACAACAAAGAAAAAAGTAGCCCACGGTTTTTAAGCCAACAACATAAGTTGAGTAACAACATGAGATTTGGGGGTTTCTTGAGATGTTTAATATACACAACACAACGGTGAGCAAGCACCCTTGCCTCAATCTTGTGAACAACATCTGATACTGTAATCGGCTTTAATTTGATGTTAATATATTCACATAGAATAAATATTTCCTAGGTTAAAAAAGAAAAATACTTGGAAAGGCTGCACTAATGATTGTCAATAGTAGTAGACCCGTGGCGATCGGTTAGTTCATTATCACTGCCAGAATGTTCCTGTTTGATTTTGACTACGAGCAGCTGACCGCCTTCGTGATGGATAGCTTTCTCCAAGAAACTGTATACCTGGGAACAGAGTAAACAAGTATCGATATGATCAGTAGACCTTATATCAACCCATTACAATATTCAATGCAAAATAATTTATCATTCGTACCGCCTCCTCATTATCAAACGATTTGGGTCTGGTCAATCTAGAATCTAGATTGTATACTGTATGTGTTTCTTCTCCGAAAATAGGCTTAATAGCAATCCAATGGTGCCGTGGAAAGCACAAGAATTCTGTTCGCGTGTTGAGTATCAAGCCAAAAAGCGTTCGATCGGTGAACTGGATATCTGTGCGAATGTCTTGATCGACAATGTCAGTGTGGGAAGATGGGGAACGGGTAAATATGTAACAATGCCTACAGCTCGCAAAAAAAAAAAGGCTTAGCTACTAATTACCCTTTCTGACATCAAACCATCGCGTCTCTAATCCTTGTTCACTCAGTGCCTCTATTATCACATTAACATCATAATTACCGATACTACAAGAGCAACAACGTTAATTCGCTGAATGTCTCTTCAAAACTTTACATTTAGGCGTTCATACATTATGCTTTTGTGGGGGTTTATGTAATAAGATAGCCATGATCTAGCCTCGACGTCTGTTCTTATGTTCAGAGTTTCTGCTATTTTGTCCATATCAGATTTAGTATAGACTTCCGCCTGAAGCTAAATTGATTGTATTCCAACAATTAACATATAACAAGTAATCCCAATATAATGCTATCATGTTTGCAAACATTAATTACATACCAAGCTATTGACAGCATGCTAAGTGTCAGCATTCATAAACAGTCCTTGTCAGTTTTGCCAGCCAAAACAATGAGAAAAGTCTGGGTTTCTCTTCCTCTCCCCCCACTTTCCCTCATTTCCGATCTCAAACCTGTCCACATAGCCATAACCTTTGTCTTTCGTGATAAATTTCTGGAGAGTAATGAGCCATAACTGGGTTGCTGAATGTTGGTGTTCAAAATCTTGTGGCTTTGTTGTAACTCGTGACACTCTTACATGCGCTTACCCTTTATGGTCTCTCGCGTGCAAGTCAATGTCTTCTTTTGTCGCGCCTCTTCGCGAAACTACTTATAATGCAACTTATCTTCCTTGTTGACAAGAATAACCGTACTTCCTATAACAAATAATGCCCCTCTACTGTGACAACAAAATCGACACCAACACACTACGACTACTACTACGTGATGATATCGACAAGTAAGCTTCAACGACCACACGTGGCCAAGAAGATTCATGCTCAATATCGAATAAAATATTGCTCCCACATACTGACCATCAACCAGTACTGAATATTATGATATTATTATAATCAGAATTACACAGAAGAATACCGATACAAACATTACCGCACAATTAATACCTAATACAATGGAAGTATCATAACTAGACTATAATTAGATGCCGAGATGGCGCGATAATATTCCTCCGAAAACGATACCTTCAGCACACCTTTAATTCACACAATTTACTTTTATTTTTTTATAATTGTCTTTTTAAATTAATTCTTTACATTCTAATAAACAAAAAGCTCGTAAACGTTAAATAATTCCTGTAGTATACTATCCAACAAAGAGTGAGCATTAAAACAACCAACAAATTTGCGGCACTTAGACACTGGGATTATAACTTATCATCACGCGTTAGGATAGAAAACTTCCCCGATAGTCAATCCTGGCGAATTATAATGGATGATGAGCTCGAGGTTAAACAAAAGGCGAGTCGTATACAACGATAGAATTGTGAGTATATATTAAAGTCTGTATTCAAGTCACTAATTGTCACGAAAGATTAAGCATTAGTAGGATAGTCTAAGACTCCTGGAAAATGCTAAATCTCAAAATTAACTCCCCCTCCCACAACCGGTTTACCTTAAATGCTTTTTATTCTTTTTCAATGCAAGAACGCAGCATGTAACTAGCCTAATACTAACAAGATAATTCATATTAAAGTATGAAATATAACTTTTAACGCTGAATCAAAAAAGAAACTATATAAGGGAGCGTTCTCAAAATCATATTCACGATGATGGTAGCCGTAACATTGTTGGGTCATCAAGAGCAAGTTTACAAGCTTTTATATTTTAAATTTCTTACAGTCGACACAACTAGTGGCAACCAGTGCTTTTTTAATATGTTGCTTTGCTTTTATTTTTTTAAAATAGTTTACTTGATAAAATTCATAACTTTCTTTTAGATCTATGTAAGTTTATGTATAAAATTGAGTAAGGTGACATGAACTAACAAATGTAAAAGTTTTTACATTAACGAATTAGACCATATCAGGCAAACATTATATCTTTGATATATGTTGTAAAGTTTATTTTTGTGGAATTTATAATAAGCATGAAACCAAGGAGAATTCCGATCAGTAATTTACAATAAAATTTACTGGTGAAAAATGAGCATGTTCAAATTGTTTATTTAAGTCAAAAGTGATGTATGTTAGTTTTTACGATTAAAATAATAGTTGTTAAGAGAAATTCTGGCGATTTGCCGTTCATTATAATAAGAGGTTTAAAAAAACTGTTTGATTTGCCTCTCCTTTTTTCTTTGACGATAAATTCAAACACATAAAGCAAACCTTGAACGCTGTTGTTGTTCTATATGGTAGCTCATTAGCATTATAGTCAAGAAATCCCAGCACAGTTATCCAACAGCATTTAGAAGAAAGAGATACGCCTTGCGTTAATACAGAATCCACGACCTAAACAGCATCCTGGCGGAGCAATATGGTGTCGCGCAAATACGATTCCTGATATTTGGTGCAATAAAGATACGTGGCTTTCTATTAATCATAATACACGTTTGTCTAAGAAAAAGAAGAAAGTGCAAAGTCAATTGTGGCTTATTTACTGTATGTCAAAGAAGAACAATCAACAATGAATGATGTTTTAGCGACGTAGATGAGATCATTAATAAATTCTATTTTGCATGCATTCTTAGAATTATAACATATTTTTTAATTTTCATTTATTTACAAGTTAATCTGAAATTAAGTTGTTCCAGATTGGATATTTGTATTACAGTATACTTTTGTGTAAGTAGTAACGGTTACAGGTTTGTCTCGCAACTTGATGACCCTCGAGTTTATCGAATTTACTCCGCCACTGAGTTGAGGAAGTTGTCAACGCTTTTCATGAACAGAACAGTGAGGGCGAGTTTATGCTAATCGACTTTGATTGGGCGGGAACTGCTGGCGGAGCAACTGTAATGACATTACAGCAATTAGACGACCAAATGGGGTAAATGATGGACAAGTCATTATGCTTGTGATTATGTTTAGCAGAAGCAAACAGCCTGAGAGTCAACCACCATCCCAGTGAGATTGACTAGAGTAATGTTCACAAAACGAGAATTTTCGAACACAAATAATTAGTGAGGGTGATGTGTGCTTTACAAACATTGCTATCCATCTTCTTATACCATCACAAGACAAAAAATTCATTAAGACATGATAACCACAATACCCATGCGGATATCCCATAACAATTCTTAAATCATACAGCTCAACAGTACTATGCTGCTATGGAAGCAAATATATTTAATTTAATCTTTGCAATGGAGTTCTAGCGAAGAAGTAATAATACTATCTAAATAAAATCCGACACCAACAATTAAGCATACTATTGCTATCGTAATTAGTTTTTGAATAACAAACCAATTACTAATACGAGGGTTAATTCACTTATCAATTGCTTGTTTAATCAAATAAAACCAACTACATAAGCCCCAGTCAGTGGTACATATTTCACTGTCATTCTTTAAATATTTGGCGAATTTCAACCAAATAATTTTAACTATTCTATTCTTTGCTCTATAAACTTTTTAATATAACCAGCGAAGGTTAAAAAATAGGCCACCCAATTCAGTGTCAAGGAGTATTAAAATTGTATATGGTTTTGAGAGTTTCTTTTGAAGAAAATACTAACTTTCTCGACTTTTCTTCTAAAATTGTAGTTTGTTGTTTTTGATTATCTATATTATCGTCTAATTTCTCCACTTTTTCGGTGTTTTGGTTTACTTGAGTTTTAACGTAGAAATTTTTTGTTTAATTTCTCCTATGTCTTGCGAGATTTTTACCATTTCTTTGTTTGGTTGATTAATATTATTCGTATAAAAATTAATAATATTTTTTTACCTGTTTCTGAATATTCCAATTCTTCAAGCCTTTTCGTTTTTAAAAAAACACCACATGCACAATTCTTGTTTTCCGTAAAATGGTGCAACCGAGCCACTATTACCCCAAAATGCGGGTACCGCATTAAATACATCTCGTTCTTGCAATTTCTTAACCGCAAAACAAACCAATTCATTCTTTTCGCCTTTCCATAACAAAACTGGTATTCCCGTTTATGTGCTTAAAATCCTGTAAGAAGACAAACCAGTATTGTTTCTGATTTACAGCAATCACAGATAAACATTGTTTTTTACCAAGTAATTTTTATTAGTTTGACAAAATTAAAAGCTGGCAAAGCTAGTAATATTTGTTTAAAAATTAGACAGAGAACCTAATGACAGCAAAAAATTCATAGGTGTTGAAATAATGTAGGTTAATTTTTATTTATTCCTAATACAGTATAGGTTGGTCTTGGACAAGTAATATCTTTGAATTCATCTCTAATAAGCGGGCAAATGTTATAATAAAGATATTCTTGCCTTTTGTAATCTAATGGAGTAGAGGTTAGTACTAGGATGGAAAAGGATTTATTTTTTTGGTAATTTCATATTTCAGGAACACTTGCTTTTCTAGTACTAGTTTTTAACAGATTGAATTCAGTATAAGCACCATTACAAACCAGCTGAGCTTTGACAATTTCCAGGTCGAGCTGCTTTGAATTTGTAAAGATAATTCTTAACATAATCACGGAATCAAGATCTAAATATTGAAAGCCTTTGCCGTGTTCATGGCACTGGGCTTTGTTTGATCCTGCTGTACTTAGTTTTTTTCACAATTTTAACAATATGATCTACGCAATTTATTGTCATTTGCGGTAGGTTTCTTAATCAACCCAAAATTACCATCACACTTGAATTTGTCCAGCTATCATAAAATTTAATTCCATACTTTCATGATAACCGCAAATTATCAAAATTAAACAGTGGCATTATTTTTATTTTGACCACTGGCGTTATCACAAGTAATTTTTAGATGTTTTTTGTCTTTATCCAATCTCTTAATTTCATCAAACACTATGCTCAGGGCACCATTAGAACCTTTGCCAATTATTTTATCTTCGTCGAGAACTTAATTAATTTGTTCGCGTAATGCTTCATCCTGAATATCAAATAAACTTTACGTCGACTGAAATAATAAATTTTACTTACATGTTGATCGGAATGGGGTACGTAAACGTTTTGTGCCAGTCGTAACTGTAATGGGTAGTAGCGTCAATACTACAATAATCAACTTTACCTCTCATCGTAAGATAATTCTTGTCTACCAATTTTCTCTGTTGTTCGTATTTTCGTTGTAATAATTCCTCTCTAACTTAGCTTTAACTAGATGTTTTCAATAAATCTTTTGTTTCTTCTTTCTTATGAGCATTATACTGCAAGCTGTTCCGAAAATGTTGGCACGTGTTACATAAATCAGTTCTTGGACTCATAATTATAATTTGAATATAAGGCGTTAATTGGTGCCACAACTTGCAAAATGCATCATATTCAACGTGCTGTCGTTTTCGAGGCCTGCAATGAAATCATGATAGACTGATTTGTAACTCGTTTCAGCTGGCAGAGGTGTGAGCGATCGTGTAATGCGATTGACTCTACCAGGACTTGGTAGTTTATGGATTTCATAAAATTTTTCAATACAGTAGCAACTGTTATATCAATGGTTATTTTAGTTTTCCCATCACGGCATTTGTTTGATATTACTGTGAATGCGCGACATTATACCATTCGTCGCTCGGTAATTTCTGACATTTACGAA